AGGACCTGCCAGACAGATGCCCCCAGAAAGCATACTAGGATTACTGTGTGCTAGACCGCTGGCTGCAGAGCACCAGAGGGGCACGCTCTGTGGCATTCTGGATAGCTGGGGTGCCTGCACACAAAGAGAAGGGCTGCTCTGATGCACTGCAATTTGAGTATGTGGGAGCAGACTTGATTAATTGACTCTGCTGCAGCATGGCAATTACTGCGCTCTAGCAGCCTCCCGTGTCTCGTGTATCAGCGTCCGCACGCTTTAAAGTGGTGATGGGGGTGCTTTATCTAAAGCTTGTTCAATGAGCTCCAGTTCATTTAGTTCGTTTGACCTTGGATTTCTCATTAAAAGGTAATAAATAATGAACTGAAATAAATTAATGAATTGTTTGGAATTCACATGTCTGCAAATATCTTGTTCTGAATGACAAACTATAGACTACAGTTATTGCACACAAATATCATTTATTCATCCATTAAACTAATCTTAACTGTGAACCAGAAATTCGCTTTTTACAAACATTGCATGAAACATTTAGTTATATGTTCGTGAAAAGCAAATAATAATAGAGATTAAGAGGTTGCATCAAAATCCAACAGAGCTCTTTGCAGTTTGATTTACGTAATTCAATCATTTGTACCACTATAAAAAAAGTGATGCACAGGTTTGTAGTTAATTTAATCATAAGATTATATAGTTCTGTATGCACATCAGATCAGCATATTCTTTATTATTTAATGAGATATAAAAATAATTATTCTGGAAAATTTCTCTGGTGCACAGAAATTCCAGTGATTGGCTCTCTTCAAACCTCAGAAAAAGTAAAATAAAAAATGCTCTTTTTTTTTCAATTGCTGATTTTACATATTTTAAATTTCTTTTCTGAACATTCTGATCCATATGTGATTACACTTTGTTGTTGTAAAAATGACATCACAATTAATATTCTGATGGTTTTATTAACAAGTATAATACATATATATTGTATATGGCATATTGTATGAGGCCTGTACAGTACAAATTTAAGTTCACAGTTTGACATGACAAAATGTCATTACTGAGTTCCCATTGGACTACCAAAGTAGAAACAGTGAAAGTACATTAAACATTCACATCTTTAGTAAGAAAGATTACCAAAATGTCTCAGTATTTGCAAGTTATAGTAATGCATGCTAGAAACCTTTAATTACCCAGTCTTATTAGCTTATAAAATATATTACATTCTATTAAAAAATTTCTGCATAGTTTATACAAGTATTAAAGTAAATGTAATATCCCTGCTATATTTGCAGGTGATATTTTAAGAGATGCTAAGGATAAAGATTATTTTGACCCTCTAACATTTAAAGTACATAAATAGCAGAAAAGTGCTAATATCTGTAAAACATATTGAAAGTTGTTGTAGCCCTCTTAATACATGTAAAATTCCTTGTAATTATTTTTCTTTACAGAAAGGATTTGCATTCATTTACAAGTTGCTACCCTTGACAGAGACAAAAACAGAGACAAAAGCAGACAACATATTTAGACAAGCTTGTGGCATTAGAGAGGTCACTACAGAACTACAGTGTATATTTAAATAAAACCATGTTGCTGAAATACCTGTTGAACTCCGAAGGATTGTCTCGGAAATAAGTAACCCATTATAATTATGTTTAATGGTGAATACAGGCACAATATTAGTAAAACAATATTCTCAAGCTACATACTATACAGTGCAATAGTGCTAGTAAACCAGGATTTATTTTAAATATACACGTAACTCTGCTGCAGGATTAGTTTTTTTACATTTTACACCTGATCCTGCATCCATGTAGGTGGATGACGACAGGACTGGCTTGTTTTCTTTTTAGTCATTTCCTTAGATCCATCCATATATTTTCAAAGTACCCCTCAAACCAAGTTCATTAAAAACAGTTAATGCCCCATTTAAGATGTGGATTCACATTTTAAAATGAAGGAAAAAGCACCTCACTTGTTTGCAATCTTTTTTGACTTCTTACAAAATGACACCATATACATAAAGAGAAAAATCCTATAAAGATATTTGTAGGAACTTAAGATTTTTATTTAATGCTTAAATTTAAACTGTTCTTGTTAAATGTCCTATATCATTAAGTATGTAGTCAAGGCATTTTAAATTATATTGCATCTCTGCTCCTATCCCCACTGTTCATCTCAAACATTTAAAAAAAATGGAGGGTAAATAGATTAATAAATGAACATGGTTGATAAGCTAAATGTTGGGGATAAAAATGCTCTGTTGGAGTAGATCTAACATCAAATAAATTGTTCAAGTAGGTCATTTGGACCCAGTTCTGTACTTAGAAAACCATGCAAATATTTAAAGAAAATCTTTATGAAAGAAAAAAAAAGAAAGAAAAAGGAAAAGAAACTAGCAGCACTAGAAATAAACGTTATTTTCAAAAATCCAAAATGTGATGCGTTTAAAATTACATTGAAAGCAGAAATGGAAATAAAATGCCTGTCACCTGCCCTGTCCATTATATAATTGTTTTTTTTCATTTCCAGGATACGAAATTTGTTGGTACACTTGTGTTATACAGTATATTAAGGGTACAGCCTAAGAAACTGCACCCGTAGGAGTTGCATAAAATGATCCGCTATCAAAGCTAATGAGAATTCCACAGGTATTAAGTTCTAGGGTAGTGACCAATTCTAATTCTTCCATGGCAGAGTTGCCAAAAAACCCCAAAATGATGCTAGGTTATACTAATTCTCCATCCAGGAAGGCTTTGGCTACATTAGTAACAGATCAGTGTACTGACAGAAAACAGAATTGTCTGTATATACCTGCAAGATGCATGGGTTTTTGTGGGTGGTATCTTTTAATTGGACCTACTTTCTAGTATCACAGTAGTCTTCCTTAGGACTCTGGAGAGAAGCGGGCATGGCAGAACTGAACAGATCTGCTATGCAAAGGTAAATAAGTAGCTATTTAGCTCCACTGTACTTGCTTCTCTCTTTGGGATCTAAGAAAGAGTAGTGATACCCGAAAGCTTGTCTAAATGTATCCCAAATCAGTTTACTGGACCACTTGGTCCAATAAAAAAAAAATATCACCCACAAAAATTGCTGCTTCTCTCATTTTCTGGACCATCACAACTGCAGCATCACTTCAACACTACTATATTTACCTGACAGTTCTAATGGATAAAGGCCCAGATTTCCATCTCGTTTCATGAGTGTAAAACTGGCATAACCTTCATTTTATTCCAAAAAAGGTAGTTCAGATCAACATTCATATAACACAGCAGAATATGGTCTTAATCCCTCAGACAGAGTTTACACAAACTTTCAAGAACTGCTATGAAAATTGCCATTACTCACTTGCAGGTCTTGAATATAAAACAAAACAGCATCACAAAAGGACAAGATATTCCTTAGATAAAATGCACAAGGATTTCTATACTTCAGTATTCAAGTGTTAGTTGTAGAACACATACAATACTTCATATTTTATGGCAGAAGCACTTCTTTGCACAATAAGTGAAACTATTCCTAATTAATCTTTAGACACCTGTAGGTTTTATCTTATTCTTTCACTCACCCCTAAAAGGTCTGTGAATAGGTCTACACCTACACTGCAGACCTTCCCCTCCAGTTTCACTGGCAGATGGGATGTCAGCAACAGGGGTTCTTCTACCTTTTTGGAGAAGCCACACTGCCAAGGAAGCAGAGGTAGACTCCACGCACACAAACTCCTGGATCAGCAGCATACTCCAGTGTATCTTTGGAGTCCATGGTGTTTAGGGACATCAGCAACACCTGCTCTTTACGATCTCAATTTTTGTTCCATAGAAGGCAACATACAGCAGAGACTTGACCAGACTGATCTCTTGGAGAATACAATGAGTATTTTCTTTGCTAGTAGGCTTTTCCATGTAAAAGAGGAAAATTGAGAATACCTTTTTCAAATTTCAGGGAATTAACAAAAACTTTGTGGTTCTGGAATATTTTAGTTTAGAGAAATATATCCGGCTTTCTTTTGGTGGCCCACAAGTCTGCCAACTAACATAGAAAAATTCTTTTTAATCCTGGTTAATACATTCCAAGGACTGAAGTATGTTTAGCATCACATTGGGTCATTTTAATTCAGGATATTCTATTTGTATTATGAACATACATATTCATCTGTTTTTTCTCATTAACTTCAGAATTAAGACTTGATGATGTAATATGTTAGTTATATTTACATCTTTATCTAGCCATCTTAAAAAAAGATAAGAGCTACAAAAAAGTAACTTTAAATGGTTTTATCAGGCATATTCTTACCACCTAAGACATTACTCAGTTTCTCAATGGAGGTGCATATGGGATGCCATTTTGTCTTAAAAATCCTGTGAACTATTTTTAAATAGTATATAATATATAAAAACTAGCACTCACTTCCCATAATGTTATGGTTTGGAGCATTTTGATATGGCAATTACCGCTTTTGGCATACAATAAAAAAAGTTTTTGAGGAAAGGAAATGTTCGAGAGTGGCTAGAAAGGAAGATGCCTATAATGGCTGAAATGAGGTATGGTAGACCTCTACGAAAGTCATGTAATACTATGCTACAGATGAATATATTGTGTACCATCCATACAGCTACATATAAAACAGAGATACAGTGGGCTCATCTACATGTACACTTTACTACAGAGTTGACTACTCAGCTCTGCAGTAAAGCGTCACCGTCTACACATGTGGCACTATTAGGCCACAGTAAACTAATCAACTTTGTTGTAGGATGCAATTCTTGCCCGACAAGTACTATTCTACCGCAGAGCTATTTAATGCATCAATTCACATGTCCATGGTGACTGGTTGGCTAGGGCACGAGGGCACTACAGTACAGGGGCTGCCTGCTGGCTAGCCCCACACTGTAGCACTTGTGCCCCAGCCAGCTCCTCTGCAGCACATTGGGCTGGGGCGCATCAGCTCTGGGCTGGCAGGCTGACCTCCTGAGCCCCCTGCTGGCTGAGGCTGTGCCACCCTGGCTCAATGTGCTGCAGTCTCGGGCACATGTGTAAATGCTGCGCCTGGGAGTAATACACTCTGGCACAAACTGTGCTGGAAGTTATTCAAGCACATTAATAGCATGTGTAGATGTGCCCAGCATCATGCAAGGTCTTCACCTGCTGAATCTGCCAAGGCATTATGCAATACAAACAGAAAAAAACATATAACACAGTATTCAGTACAGTTTGATTTCTGCTGGGTCTAAATGAATTTTACCACTTAAACTTTCATGATTTAAGAAGAATATATTGCTTAGCTCTTTTGCTCTTGAGGCAGAGGGGATTTCTACATCAAAGAGGTGCTTTTCTAAAAGTGTTGTGTTAAACAGGATGGTGTAACCAACAATGTTGGAAAAGTCTATTCATTGCATTGTTGAGCATACAAAGAGTATTTTTTACAGGACATAAATAAAGTCTCTGGCAAGGACTAGCAATCTGGATACTGAATAGCATTTACTAGTTTATCACTATATGCTGGTTGATTATATGGAGAAACCAATGAAGTTCCCTTATTCACACAGGAATACATTAAACATACTGTCTGCAGAAAGGGTTTGCTTAGCATCCCCCAGAGGAAAAAAAAAAAAAAGTGTTCACATTCTTTAGGTCTGACCCGTGGCAAGAACATAGAAGGGTTAGAGAACATCTATTACTGACCATATGGAAGCTTTTAATGGTATAAACTCAGAGATTCAGACCAGCTGAATCCAAATTAAAAATGCACATGTAAAAAAAGAAAGTGTGATGGGAGTCAGAGGACAAAAGACATTCAGACTAACATGTGACGTTTCCTGTGAAGGGCAAGATGGTCCGAACGTGAGAAGCTACGGTCACAGTCTGGGCACTGAAAAGGCTTGATTCCAGTATGTTTACGGAAATGCCTTGTTAGTTCATCAGAACGAGCAAACTTCCACGTGCATCCTTCCCAGGTACATTTGTATGGCTTTTCACCTAGGAAAGGAAACAGAAACTGGGATTTAAAGAAGGAAGTAAGAGATCATAGAGATCAAATGTCAGAGTGCTTAAGAAGGTTAATACAAACACTTCAATTCTTTTACACACGGGGATCTACTCAAATCATGATTTTGCATTTTTTGCAGAAACTGCAATTTGAGGCAGTTTCTGTGAAAAGCAGCATTCCCTGTGCCAGAAAACACCCCCTCACCCAACTTACTGAAAATAAAATGCTAGTTTCCCAGCAGGAGCCAGCAGTTCTCACAGCCACTGGCACAAAGAAGGGGAGCCAAGGTGGCAGCTGCTCCCTCCGCTGCTAACTGGTGGAGAGGGCTGCTATTCATGCAGCCCTATCCCTCTCTGCCAATCAGTGGTGAGGGGCAGAACTGCATGAATGGCAGCCCTTTTGGCCTATCAGTGGTGAGAGGCAGGGCACCTGAAGGGCAGCACTCTTGGACAGTCGGTGGCGAGGGGCAGGGCCACTGCCACGGCCCTTCGGTCAACCAGAGGTGTGGGGGGCGGGGGGATCTTGCAGCAAACAGCCATGAAAATGGCAGCAGGCACTAGGATTGGTGTACAAAATTACCTGCCTGCCTCCTCAATTTCGGTAGGTCTTTATTTATGCAATAAGATGCATCTTTTCTTGTCCATTAAAACTCCAGCTAGTCTTTTTCCATTTACTCAGTGAGGTATCTAGCTAATGCACATTGCAAACATTTGTGTCTCGTGAATTTCTAAATGCCTGAATTTAGCAGATGAGAAAAAAATTCATTGACAGCTTGCTTATATTACAGTCACCTTGCTCCTTTCTTTCCTTACCTTGCCATTGGTGTCTTACAACCACTTTTGTCTGGACTTAAGCTAAAGTCCCTCTCCTGCAAATACTTAAGTTTAATTTTAAATACTAAAGACTATGAGACCACTTACGCACATAAAAGTCAACTTGTGAGTAAGTAGTAGGATTGAGACGTTACACTGAGTTCTCTGGACTAGAATAACATCTAGTACAATGGGGTACTGCAGCCTCATAGTTATTAACGACAGTGATAATGTTGTTGCCTTAAATAGATCCAATTTTAACTCTTTCCTTCAATAATTAAGTTAATCTATGTACTTCTCTCTTAATTATTACCTTCTAAATCAACCTTATTTTCATTTACGCTAAAGACCCAATTATTCTGCCAATGGTATAAATGGCCGGAGCGCAAATGAGAATTAGACCTTCTATCTTGTCTAAATGTGTCTTATTGCCATGTAAACATCCAGGACAAGTGCAGCAAGCATGCCACAGCATATTTTCACTATGCTGGCTTTGACTAGGCATAGGGACATTTTTTAAATTGTATGTTAGAAAGCAGCATGCAGAAAAAATCTGACCAGTGTTTTTCTGTGTCTGAATGCATAAATCTTTTTAGAGATTTCATACTTGGCATCCAATTTGGAGTTTTGAAAGAGGGGCTACTCCCATGGAAACGTATGAGCCAAAATCTAGTAGTGCTGTTAAGTGGTGAGCAGGGATCCAGGTTTTCCGTCTGCCATGGAAAAAACACGGTAAAACCTGGATTTTCTCACTTTAAGGAGAAAAATGTGGGAAATGGCAGGTTTCCCTTGCAGGCTGTCAGACTTTCAGGCTGCAAGGGGCTGGGGGAATGGGAGGAGTGCAATCAGGTAGGGGACACAATGTGCATATGCGCATGCACACACGCACATGGCAGCCTGGTAGCATGAGAGCAGCTTCCTGCAGATAAACTGGGGGGAGAGGGGGATTGAGGCCCCCATAGGGAGGAAGGGTGGGAGGGAGTTGGGCAGGGCTGGGGCTGCTGCCCAGCTTGGGGCCCAGTGCTGGAATGCATGGCTGCAGGACCCAGGCGGGGAGTGGGATGGAGCTGCAGGCAGTTCATCTGGAGGGGCTGGGGGCGGGGGAGGAGGGGGCACTCTGTGCACTCCTGAGGGAGAGGCATGGGGGGGCACATGCCCAAGATTTGTGTGCAGGGTGGGGGCAGATGCAGGCTGCCTGCTTCAGGCTCAGCGCTGGCTGCCCTGCTGCCCTTCCCCTTGAGGCCTCTGCAGCACAGTGGGCAGGACCCGGTGCAGCAGGACAGAGTGGGACGGTGAGGCTTGGTGCTGTCACCAGGAGCCCCGCATTGCCATGGCAAGGTGCCCTCTGCCTGCACAGCAGCACCGCCCACCCTGCTCTGCCCTGCCACACCAGGTCCCACCTGGTTGGCTAGAAAGACCCCCCAGGGGGAGGGCAGCAGGGTGGGCAGCCCCGAACCCACAGCCACCCCCCCACCCCCTAAGGGCTCCAGTTGTGCTTCCTGTGAGGTAGGGGGAGCTAGGCTCTGTGCTCTGTTCCACTGCCTCCCACAGGTAGCAGCTGGGGCTCGGGAGCTGCGAGGGGCAATGGGAGGGCAGGGACCTGGTTGGCTAGAAAGACCCCCCAGGGGGAGGGCAGCAGGGTGGGCAGCCCCGAACCCACAGCCACCCCCCCACCCCCTAAGGGCTCCAGTTGTGCTTCCTGTGAGGTAGGGGGAGCTAGGCTCTGTGCTCTGTTCCACTGCCTCCCACAGGTAGCAGCTGGGGCTCGGGAGCTGCGAGGGGCAATGGGAGGGCAGGGGGGCTATGGGTTGGGGGTGGGGGGGAGGGGGGGGGGGGGGGGTGTGGGGGAGTGAGGGGCAATGGCATGGGCAGGGCACTGGCATATCAGGGTTGCTCAGCACCACAAAGCAGCTGGGGGTAGGGACAGTCACATCTGGACCTGCATCCTAGTAAGGAAAGGGGGCGGAGGGAGCTCTGATTTTCCATCATAAAAAACCCAGAATCAAATGCCAAAATGTACAGGTAGTTAGAATTTATATTACAATGATTGAAGCAGTGGTGGGCTTCCAAACTGCTTTAAAATTGTAAATACAGTGAAAGCTGTGTTAACTGGCATTTTACTAACTGGAATACTCTATTAACCTGAATTTCCAATATTCCCCAATACAAAACTTCACTTTAGCAATCAGAATCTTTGCCGAGTCTATCCAGCATGTGCAAGAAGCAGGGGGAGGGGAAAAGGATCTGCACAGGGCAGGGTGGGCCGCAATGCACTCCTGTCTTCCTTGATAGGTATAACTCTCAGATAACCGGAATTTTTAAACAACTGGCACCCCCCCTTGCCCCACTTATGCCGGATAACAAAGCTTTTACTGTATATCAATAAAACATTGTGTTCAACTGATACCACTATATATATATATAGGCGTTTCATTTTAATAAAGGAAAATTGTGAATTTGGGGGGTTTTAATCAGAGAATTTGCTATTTTTAAACAGAGAAAACCAGGATCCATCTGGGGGATGAGCAAAATAGCTATCTTCAAAGCAAGAGGACAAAAGTGGGTGTAGAAAAAGGAAAGAAAAGGAGCTATCAAGCAAATACAAGATGTATTGGGAGGATTCTTGTCTAGACTTACAACCTGTTAGTTACCTCCCCTTCATCTTCCCCCTTCCACTGCAAGGCACAGAAGCAAAGCCAGCCAAATGCCAGATCTGTGTAAAATATAACACTTATACCTGACGTGATCACTTTCACCACTATTTCAACTTTTAGTTTAAATAGCTTAATCAGTCAAGCAAGGTCCCACGGAACCTTTTGGAACATGCAAGTAGGACAGAATGAGCTGACAGACAGGGGCATGTTTAGGCTACTATGTTTAGAAAAACATCATGACAGTGTTTGTAACAACAATTTTTTTTAAACATTTAAATCAAACCAGATTTCCTTGCAAATAGAAAAAAAGTGTTAAATCTCAGTAATATCTTAAGGATGGGATGTAGTTGAGGCTTGGCCTTTAACTCATCAAAATCAATATTGATGAAAGAAAAGTGCACCTAGACTCCCACCTGTATGTGTTCTTCTGTGAGCTTTCAGGTGGGAGCTTTTAGTGTAGACCTTGTTGCAACCTTCATAATCACATCTGTGTATTCTGCGTTTCCTTTGTGTGTCTGGAGATTCCACAGGTAAAGGCCGCTTCCCAGGCTGCACTATAACTGAAGGGTGATTCCTGTGAAGTTAAATCATGTGTTAAAAATGAAAAATATTTAAAACATAATAAACTTCATTATAGTGATTTAAGACAGAGCCTTCTATTCTTTACCATTCTGTCTCTTGGCAGGGAGAACTACATTACATGTATGGGGAAAAATTCAGAACTTAGCATTTTTATGGATTTTAACAGTAATGTTTTGATGCTTGTTGGGCTTATTCACTTTGTGGTATGAGTAAAACCAAAGATATTCCCCTCTGCCTGCCTGGATTTTAATTAAGTTATACTTATAAAAGCAAAGATTTTTCTTTTTCAGGCAAATATATATTACATTTCCAGAAAACTTTAGTTTGCAAAATTGCTTTTGTTTGCAAAATTTCTCTCTTTAAAAAACAGCCAATTTGTTTTTAATTGAAAATAGCTTTTCTATATTCATAAATGCATATCGTTAGCTTTGCAAGGCAGAATGCAGAATCTGTATTGTTCCAGCCACTCCTTAAAAGAGTAATTATGAATTTCCTGTTTGGTGTTGGCAGAAGGGTGCGGCCCCCCTTTACCACTGACCTCAATTCCTAAAAGTAGAATTTAAGTCTGCTGTCACACCCACAGGATGTCTGAAATTGGTTCTGAAGCTTCACAAAAACATTTTTCTTGACTTGAAACCCATAGGTAAAATGCAGGTAAAACACATGTACACACACACATATTTTTAGGGGTATCACCAACTGTGTACATTAAGAATCAAAAAGTATGACTGCTTCTAAAACTGGAAACCATCATGAAACTGACCTTAGTGGCACTGATAAGAGGAAAATGCATTTAAGAAAGCAAAAAACAACACCAGCACCAAGAATTAAAAAAAAAATTAAAAAAAAAAATCAGTGCGCCCAGGACTATTTAACTGATAAATAGGGTTGATTTGGGGTATTTTCTAGCTTTTAAGTGAAACTGAATATGCCACATGCACATGCTAAGATTTATCCTAGTAAAACTGGTTCTACCACCTATAATAAGCTTTATAGAATGCAAGCCTTTTTAGCAATTACTGAACTTGCCATTTTTTTACTAGATCCAATTATGTCTAACAACATTCAAGCTTATCTAGAGGCTATTTGTTATTTAAAGCAAGTACTTTTAGGGCCTAAAGTTTAGAAATGCTGAGAAACCACAGCTCCTATTAAAGTCTATGGGAGTTGTTGGTGTTCTGGGTGCTTGATAATCAAAGCCTTAGGCTCAGCAATGCAGAACACAGAATCATAGAAAATTAGGGTTGGAAGGGACCTCAGGAGGTCACCTAGTCCAACCCCCTGCTCAAAGCAGGACCATCCCAGCCAAGGCTTTGTCTAGCCGGGTCTTCAAAACCTTCAAGGATGTAGAGTCTATGACTTCTTTGGGTAACCTGTTCCAATGTTTTACTTCCCTCCTAATGAGAAAATTCTTCCTATTGTCTAACCTAAATTTACCTTGCTGCAACTTGAGAACATTGCTCCTTGTTCTGTTACCACTGAGAACAGTCTAGATCAGGGGTTTTCAACCTTTTTTAACAAGTGTACCCTTTCCGTCTTGAAGTTTCAGCTCATGTACCCCTTTATGTTTTTTTCTTGTTTTTAAAGGGTAAGGGGCACAGTGAAGGAGGGAGTGGGGCTGGGATAGACTCTGTGTAGCCAGGACGGGGCATGAGACAGAGCCGTTGAGCATCGGGGGGGGAGAAAGAGGGCAGGAACGTGAGGAGACGGGACTGTTCCTGCTGCTGTGCACACCCTGGGAGGGACATGTGCCCCAGGATCTGCGTGGGGTGGGCCAAGACAGATCAAGGCCCCAGCAGCGGGGGAAGGAGTGGGCTGGGACAGGGCCAGGGGCTGCCCAGCCAGGGCAGGATGCGGGACTGAGCCATGTGAGGGGGGGCGGCTTTCGCTGCTACACGCAACCTGGGAGGGCATGGTAGGCGTGTGCCCTCAGATCTGGGCATGGGGGTTGGAAGGGCTGCCACTGCAGACTGGGGCAATGGACTTTTCCTGGCAGGGGGTTGGGCCGGGCTGTGCTTGGGGCGGGCAGCAGCAGCACTGGGAAGGGGCCTGGGGGCTAAGGCAACTTTTGGGTTGGCTGCAGCCCTGCCCCCCATAGCCCTGCTCCCTTAGACCCCCATGCTGAGGGAGGGAGTGGGGCTGGGGCAGGGGCTGCCCCGTTGGGGTGAAGCATGGGACAAAGTCAAGAGTGGCTTGTCTGGGGGGGTGCTGGGGGTGGCGGCTCCCACCACTGCATGCACCCAGAAGGCACAGGGCACATGCCCCCAGTTCCCATGGGGCAGGGTGGGGCAGGCTGCAGACCAGGGCAATGCCTGGCTGTTCCTGGTGGGGGCTGGGCCAGGCTGCGCTTGAGGCGGGTGGCAGCAGCACTGGGAGGGGGTTACAGGAGGGGCTTCAGCCACCCCAAAATTTGCCATAGACCTCCCCGCTCCCTGCAAACTTGCTCCCAGTGCAGCTTGGTCCAACAACCCCACCGGGAACAGCGGCCTGCAGCCCACCCTGCCCCACATGCTGATCTGGGGGCACGTGTCCTGTGCCCTCCCAGGGTGCATGCAGCATGCTATCCCCTGGACAAACCATTTGTGGCTCTGTCCTGTGCTCCGCCTTGGCTGGGCAGCACCTGCCCTTGGTCCAGCCCCACTCCCTTCCTCACTGTGGGGGACTACTGGAGTGGGGTTACTGGGGGGGGGCTGCAGTCACCCAAAATTCACTGTAGCCCCTCCATCCCCTTCCCTGCACCGCCACCACCTGCCCCAAGTGCAGCCTGGTTCAGTCCCCACCAGGAAGAGCCTGGTACCTCCCCAGACCCAGCCCCACACACAGATGCAGGGGCACATGCCCCCGTGCCCTCCCGGGGTGCACAAAGCAATCGGAGCTGTCCCACCCCGGCAACCCCTACCACAGCCCCCCAGAACAAACTTATCAGCTGAACCTGGTTGCTCTCCATGTGGCTGGGCGGTGCTCCTGGCCTCCTGCGTGCTGCGCTGTGGCTGTGTGCATGCATGCAGAGTTCCATGTACCCCCTATTAATCTTTTAAGTACCCCTAGGGGTATGTGTATCCCTGGTTGACAACCACTGGTCTAACTCCATCTTCTTATGAATCCCCCTTCTGGTAGTTGAAGGTTGCTATTAAATCCCCTCTCAGTCTTCTCTTCTCTAGACGAAATAAGCCCAGTTCCCTCAGCCTTTCCTCAGAAGTCATGTCCCCCAGCCCAAATGATTTTTGCTGCCCTCAGCTGTACTCTCTCCAATTTATCCACATCCTTTCTGTAGTGGGGGGACCCAAAGCTGAACAAAGTACTCCAGATGTGGCCTCACCAGTGCTGAATAAAGGGGAATAATCGCTTTCCTTTACCCTGTAACACCTTCTCTGCAGAGCTGCTGCCCAGCCAGTCAGCCCCCAGCCTGTATTGGTGTGTGGGATTTTTCTGTCCTAAGTGCAAGGTATACCACCAGCCACTGATCTTCCTGCATCCAGAGCCAGTCATCTCATCCTAGAAAGCAATCAGGTTGGTCAGGCATGACTTGCTCTTGGTGAATTCATGCTGACGGTTCCTAACCACCTTCTCCTCCAAGTGCTTAGAAATGGATTCCTTGAGAATCTTCTCCATGATTTTTCCAGGGACTGAGGTTAGGTTGACTGATCTGTAGTTCCCTGGATCTGTTTTTTCTTCTTTTCTTAAATATAGGCACTATGTTTGCCCTTTTCCAATCATCTGGGACCTCTCCTGATCACCATGAGTTTTCAAAGATGATGGCCAATGGCTCTGCAATCACAACAACCAAGTCCCTCATCACCCTTGGGTGCATCACATCTGGCCTCATGGGCTTCTCTATGTCCAGCTTTTACAAATAGTTTCATAGTAGCCAGGGTGAGGAGGGACCCGAACAGATCATCTAGCCTGACCCCTTGCTACAGGCAGGAATGAATGCTGGGTTCACAAGACCACAGACATGATCATCCAACCTCCTCTTGAATTTGCCCAAGGTAGGGGTGAGGACCACTTCCCTGGGAAGTCGGTTCCAGATTTTGGCCACCCTAACTGTAAAACATTGCCTTCTGATCTCTAACCTAAACCTATTCTCCATCAGCTTATTACCATTGTTCCTTGTCACCCCAGGTGGTGCTGGGGAGAAAAGGGCTCTACCTATTTGCTGTTGATCTCCCTTGATAAGTCTGTAGGCAGCCACCAGGTCTCCCCTCAGCCTCCTCTTGCTGAGGCTGAACAGGTCCAGGTCCCTCAGTCTCTCCTCGTAGGGCCTGTCCTGCTGCCCTCTCACCAAGTGGGTGGCCCTCCTCTGAACCCTCTCCAGGCTGGCCACATCCCTTTTCGAAGTGCGGTGCCTAGTACTGGACACAGCACTCCAACTGTGGCCTGACCAAAGTTGCATAGAGGGGGAGTATCACCTCTCTGGACTGGCTTGAGATGCACCTTTGGATGCATGACAAGGTATGGCTGGCCTTGCTGGCTGCG